CTGGGATTTCAACGTGGTGTTTGCAAATGCCTGAAATTCAGAGATTCTCCTGCCCAGGAGAACGTGGGCTGTATGAGGACACAAGGAATAAGTGAATAACAACAATAATGAATTGGTAAAAGTTGTGCTCATCTGGTGGCATTCACCCAGAGTTTAATTGTTATATTTAAAAAAATGAGACCATATGGAAAATATCCCCCAGGAAGCTGAGGGTGGGACCGGTTGAAGTAGTGAATGATGAACTGGAGCTGAGCGCGCTGTCTTCGTCCTGACCTCTCCACATAAGCGTGTTACTTCTAATAGGAGTGCTCAAATTGGCCACGGTTTGTCGCAAATAGCTTTGTTCTGTGTGAAGCACTGCATCATCCGTGATGTCAGAGCTTTGCTATTTGGATGCACATAATTGCTCTCGGGCTCTGCCTGGTTGCCAGCATTGTCCTCACTGGAGAAGGCGTGAGGTGAACAGGCGAGGAGAGGAAAAAATGAGACTCGGCCTGCTCTACTGGCCAAGATGTCAACATCAGCCCAAACCACTTGGGTGAGGTCTTATAAAAGTTTGGGGAAGTGCCTTCGCTTCTCCCTGTCACCAGCACACTGCTTGGTATCAGTTTCTGACCCAAATGCAGATCTCCCTCAAGGTACCTGCACTGGTGTTGCTGTGGGGTGATCCCATGAGCTCCAGGCTCTCCGGAAAGCCGTGTTTCCCAAAGTTTGGCTGAAGTGTCCCTTGGTGCCCTGCAGCAGCCGCTCCTGGGGATGCGCTTTGTGCTGTCAGCCTGGGCACTCATGGTTCTGAGCCCCTCGCGCGATGGGGCTCGGCGTGGGACGGTGACACTGGGGACGAGGCACAGCATCGCTGTCTGCCACTGGCGCAGAGCTGTGGGCTTCCAGCGCTGGTGGGGGGATCGGCCTGTGTCAGAGATGAGACTTACATTAACAAAGCAACCCAATAATACCCAAGAGTAAGGAGCAGGTATGGGCTGCAATATGGGCTAATTGACTAGAAAATGTTTGCAAGAGCCAAATCCCCACATCTCCTGATTCCAGATGTTCCCTCTCCCAGCTGGATTAGCTGTCCCGCAGCCCGTCTTTAGCGTTGTTGCTCTCCTTCGTTTGCCAAGGAATTTTGTTTTTTCCAACATCCCTGCTGCTGTGTTTCAGAAGAGCTGAGGAAATCTCATTTCTTGCATTTTCTGCCTCTGATGCCGCATTTTAAATAACAGGACTGCTCACACTGGGAGCTCCTTTCTTATGAACAGAACCAAACAAATGAGGAAAAAAACAGCAAATCTTGAAAGGCAGCTGTCCTGCAGAGTTCAAGGGGACACGAGGAGTTTTTTTTGCACTCTTGTTTGCAGAATGGCTCACTCTATTGTGCTCCTTCGGCACTGTCTGCGATTTCGAAAATTGTGAATTAAATCTTGGGAGCATTTTAGACAAACTACTGTGGAAACGTGACCAGCTACACCATTTTATTTAATGTTTTGCTTTCTGCTTTTTGGCAACTCTTTTTAGCTCTTCCTAAAGCAGTTTGCTAGGGTTTTGTTTATTGATTTCTACTAAAAGTTCCCATAAATTACAAGTTCGGAAACACAAATTGCGAGGTGTCTGTTCTCCTGGTGTGGACCTGCAGTGTTTGTGTTTGTATCTTGGTGGTGCTGGGCAGAGGCCAGAGCTGCAGAGGTTTCCTG